TATTTTTTTTGGTGTTAAGTTTTTTGAGCACTGGAGATTAGTGCTCTATCAGATGTGTGTGTGGTAAAGATTTTCTCCCACTCTGTAGGTTCTCTCTTCATATTGATTGTTTCCTTTGCTGAATAGAAGTTTTTTGTTTGTTTGTTTGTTTGTTTGTTTTTTTAGTTTGAATTTATCTCATTTATTTATTCTTGGTTCTATTTTTTGTGCTTTAGGAGTCTTGTTAAGGAAGTCAGGTTCTAATCTGACATGATGAAGATTTGGGCCTACTTTTTTCTTCTATTAGGTGCAGGGTCTATTGTTTAATGACCATATGGTCCTTGATCCACTCTGAGTTGAGTTTTGTGCAAGGTGAGAGATAGGGGTTTTATTTCATTTTGCTGCATATGGATTTATAGTTTTCCCAGCACCATTTGTTGAAGAGGCTATCTTTTCTCCAATGTATGTTTTTGACACCTTTGTCTAATACAACTGTATTCATATGGGTTTGTCTCTTTGTCTTCTATTCTGTACCATTGGTCTACATCTTTATTTTGGTGCCAATACCACATCATTTTTGTTACTATAGCTCTGTTGTATAGTTTGGTACCAATATCATGTTGTTTTTGTTACTATACTTCTGGTATTATGATGCCTCCTGCTTCACTCTTCTTTTTGAGGATTGCTTTGACTATTCTGGGTCTCTTATTTTTTCCAAATTAATTACGTGATTGCCTTTTCTATTTCTATGACGAATATTGTTGGGATTTTAATTGGAATTACATTAAATCTATATAATGCTTTTGGTAATATGGCCATTTTGACAATATTAATTCTTTCTATCCAGGAATATGGGAGATCTTTCCATCTTCTAAGGTCTTCTTTAATTTCTTTCTTTAGTGTAATGTAATTTTTGTTGCAGGAGTCTTTCACCTCTTTCGTTAAGTCCCAAGTATTTTTTTTTTTGAGGCTATTGTAAATGGGGTAGTTTTCCTCATTTCCCTTTCAGAGGATTTGTCACTGATGTACAGAAATGCCTTTGATTTATGGGTGTTGAGTTTATATCCTGCTACTTTGCTGAATTCATTTATTAGTACTAGAAGTTTTCTGGTGAAATTTTTTTGATCCTCTAACTATAGAATCATGTCATCAGAAATAGTAATAGTTTGAGTTCTTCTCTATTCATATCTCTTTAATTTCTTTTGTCTGTGTAATTTCTCTGGCTAAAGTTTTAAGGACTATGTTGAATAGAAGTGGTGAAAGAGGGAATACCTGTCTTGTTCCAGTTTTTAGAGGAATGTTTTCAAGTTTTTTTTCCATTTAGAATGATGTTGGCTTTGGGTTGAGCATAGGTAGCTTTTACAGTGTTGAGATATGTTTCTGTTTTCCCTAGTTTTTCTAGTGTTTTGAACATGAAAGGGTGCTGTATTTTGTCAAATGCTTTTTCTGCATCTATTGATATGATTATACGACTCTTTAAGTCTATTGATGTGATGAATTACGTTTATTGATTTCCATATGTTGAACCAACCTTGCATCCCTGGGATGAATTCCACTTGATCATAGTGCACAATCTTTTTTAATAAGTTTTTGTATACAATTTTCCAGAATTTTATTGAGAATTTTGGGGTTTATGTTCATCAGGGATATTGGTCTGAAGTTTTCTTTCCTTGATGTGTCTTTGTCTACTTTTGATATCAGGGTGATAATAACCTCATAGAATGAGTTTGGAAGGATTCCCTCTTTTTCTACTTCATGGAATAATTTGAGGAGTTTTGATCATAATTCTTTTTTGAGGGTCTTGTCGAATTCAGCTAAGAATCTGGTCCTGGGCTTTTCTTGGTTGGTAGGCTTTTGATGGTGTCTTCTATTTCATTGCTTGCAATTGACCTCTTTAAATTGTGTATGTTCTTCTGATTCAGTTTGGGCATATCATATGTCCCTTGAAATTCATTGATGTCTTTGAGATTTTCTATTTTGTTGGAGTATAAATTATCAAGTAATTTCTAATTATCTTCTGTATTTCAATGGTGTCTGTTGTGATATTCCCTTTTTCATCATGAATTCTAGTAATTTGAGTTTTCTATCCCCATCTTTGCATTGGGGTTGTTAAGGGCTTATTAATTTTATTTATTTTTTTCAAATAACCAGCTTTTTGTTTTGTCAACATTTTCAATTGTTTCTTTGTTTCAGCTTCATTGATTTCAGTCCTGATTTTAATTATTTCCTGTCTTCTACTACTTTTGGTGTTGATTCATCCTTCCTTTGCTAGGGCTTTGAGATGTAATATCAGATCATTTATTCGTTGAATTTTCATTCTTTTAATGAATGATCTCAATGCAATGAACTTTCCTCTTAGCACTGCCTTTCTAGTGTTCCAGAGATTTTGATATATTGTATTGGTGTTCTCATTTACCTCCCAAATTTTCTTTTATATTCTCCCTGATGTCTTCTAGTATCCATTTGTCATTCAATAGCATATTGTTTAGTCTCCAGGTGTTGGAGTGTTTCTATTTTTTATTTTATCATTGATTTCTAATTTCATTCCATTATGATCTAATAGATTGCAGGGTACTATCTTTTTTTTTTTTTGTATTTTCTAAGTCTTGCTTTGTAGTTAACATGTGGTCTATTTTAGAGAAGGATCCATGTGTGGCTGAGAAAAAAGTATATTTGCTTGTTGATGGATAAAATATTCTACATATGTCTGTTAAGTCCAAATTATTGATTGTATTATTGAGTTCTATAGGTTTTTTTTTTTTGTTTGTTTGTTTAATTTTTGTATGGAAGATTTATCCAGGGATAGAGAGGTGTGTTAAAGTCACCCAGTATATTGTGTTGTGGTCTATTTAATTCTTGAAATTGAGATGGGTTTGTTTGATATATGTGGATGCTCCATTGTTTGAGGCATAAATATTTACGATTGTTATGTCTTATTGATGTATTATTCCCTGAAGCAGTATGAAATGTCCTTCTTTATCCCTTCTGACTAACTTTGGTTTGAAGTCCACTTTATCTGATATGAGGATCTAAACCCCCACTTGTTTACGTGCTCCATGTGAGTGGTATGTTTTGTCCTATCCTTTCACTTTCAGTCTGTGGATGTCTTTTGGTAGGAGGTGAGTCTCTTGAAGACAGCATATTGTTAGGACTTTCTTTCTTTCTTTTTTTTTTAGTCCAGTCTGCCAGTCTGTGTCTTTTAATTGATGAGTTTAGGCGGTTAATATTCAGGGTTATTATTGAAATATGGTTTGTATGCCTGGTCATTTTGGTTTAATTTTGGTTTTTAACTTGACTTGGTTTCTCCTTTGATTAGCTTTTCCTTTAGTGTAGTTCCTCCTGTGCTGATTTTAATTGTTGTTTTTCATTTCCTCCTCATGGATATTTTGCTGAGAATGTTCTGTAGTACAGGTTTTATCATTGTAAATTCTTTTAGCCTTTGTTTATCATGGAAGATTTTTATTTCATTATCAAATCTAAAGCTTAATTTTGCTGAATATAATGTTGTTTGGCATCCATTTTCTTTCAGAGCTTTGTATATGTGATTCCAGGATCTCCTAGCTTTGAGGGTCTAGGATGAGAAATCTGCTGAGATTCAAATTGGTTTTCCCCTATGTATAATCTAAATTTTTTCTCTTGTGGCTTTTAAAATTCTATCCTTATTCTGTATGTTAGGCATTTTCATTATAATGTGCCTTGGTGTGAATCTGTTGTAATTTTGTACATTTAGTGTCCTGTAAGCCTCTTGCATTAGATTTTCCAATTCATTCTTCAGGTTTGGGAAATTTTCTGATACTATTTCATTGAAAAAGTTGTGCATTCCTTTGATTTGTATCTCTGTGCCTTCCTCTATTCTGATAAGTCTCAAATTTGGTCTTTATGTGTTATCCCATAATTCTTGGAGGTTCTGTTCACAGTTTCTTACCATCTTCACTGTGTGGTCAACTTTATTTTCAGGATTATATATTTTGTCTTCATTGACTAAGCTTCTGTCTCCCGAGTGATCTAGTCTGTTGGTGATGCTTTCTATTAGAGCTTTAATTTGGTTTATTTTAAGTGTTTCTGTTTGTATTTTTTTTTTCAGAATCTCTCTTGAAGTAATTTTGTTTCCTGCATTTGCTCTCTTATCTCTTCATTGAAGTGATCACTTGTTGTCTCTATTTACTGTCTTAAATCATTCATTACTTCACAAATGTTATAAAATACAATCAGTAAAGGGAAGGCAGGCAGGAAGAAAATAGAAGTATATTTACAAAAAGCAATGTCTCTCAAATGCTTCTTCCTAGGTCTTTTTTCTTTCTCTCTCTGTCTCTTTAGAAGCAACTAGCATTTTGAGTTCTTTATATATTCTTTCAGTTGTTCTATAAATTTTTGTGTAATATATGCATGTTGATGCTGTTCTTATGGGAATATGGTAGCAAATTATTTATGATTGTGTTCTACCCCATAACTATATAACTTGAAGACTGTCAGTATCTATAGAACTTCTCCAATCCTTTAAATGGCTACAGAATAATCTGTTATACGGATACACCATAATATATTCAACAATGCCTAATACATTCTGATGAACAGGGCTTTATGTAGCAATGGGAACATAGGATTCCAATGAATTCACACTTGCACTGTCGAAAATACAGAAGTGCATGAGGTACTAGATAAATAAGCAGTTCTTGTTGTTATTGGAATTTAAGGCTTATCTCATGTGAGTGGTGGTCATTTTTTAAAAAAATCCTCGTAAGTACCTAAAGAGAGTGTTATTGTGCCTCTTTCCCAAATGCAAAGGGAATTTAGAGACATAGTTACTTGTCCACATTTCACACAGCTAGTAAGCAGCAGAGGCAACATCTAAATCCTGGGTCTCTTCAATTCCATGTCCATTCCCCAACATAAGCTTCCTTAACCACAGAAAATTCTGTGCAAACATAGTGAAGTTAGCGGGTGGCAATTAACTAAGTATAGTGTTACTTGCAAATCTGACATCTCATTGGATCAATATTATGTCTTTCAATCTTTTGTAGTTAATAGTTGAAGCTCCACCTGGGAAAACAATTGGGTATGTTCATCAAAAGTTTCACCCTATTTGGCCAAGTTTAAAAATAAAAAATCAGAAAAAGGAGGATGTAATGAAAATCAAAGGACCATGTTTGGTTTCTGGATGTCTCAGGAATCTAAATTTTAATGTGAGTAATTCATATTTTTTTAAGATTATCATTGTCAAATTAGTTAATTATTTGATTATTTTCTAATATTTAAAATAATTAATGTGATTAAAAAAATAAAAACCTATACTGTTTACATTGTTACTATACTTACTGTTTTTTCCCAAATGAACTACTAATTCACAATATCCTTGTTTAATTAAGTCCTAGAAGTTCATGTAATTTATAAAAAAAATTTTTAAAGCTATCTTTTTTGTTTATGCTTACCAAACAACAAGTTTTGTATTTAATATTTCAAGTAATATTATAAGAAAAGAGTTATACTTTATTTCAATGGACAATGACATATTCTGACAATAATTACAAATTATATATTACTGTTAAGTAATATAGCTTTTGCTTTTCATAAAATTCTAAAACTTGTATGATACAATTTTTTTAATTTTTATTTTTTTTTAGATGTAAATGGATCTTTTACTTTATTTATTTATATGCGGTGTTGAGGATTGAACCTAGGGCCTCACACATGCCAGGCAAGTGCTCTACCACTGAGCCACAACTCCAGCCCTGATAAAATTTTTAATAAAATTTTATTTTATTACTTAAATTATTTAAAATTTTAATAAAATTTTATTATACAAGTTTCAGAATTTTATGAAAAGCAAAAGCTTTATAAAATTTTATTAAAAATTTTATCTGCTTGCAAATTTACTTCACAGATGATGACCAATATCCAGGAAACAATCTTAGAAACCAACTACTAACTATGCTAAATATAGTTAATAAAATTAAATGACTGAACACATTTATTTAAATCTTAAGATTCCTAAACAACAAAAAATAATGCATTATTTGAGAAGATATTACATATGCAAAGCAGTGTTTTCCAAAATTTCATCAAGGACATTGTTGGTTGGTTGCTTTTTAATATCAAAAATGTCTAATCAGAAAATCTTCCTGACTCTCTTTCCTTCCCTAGAATCATGTAAATTCACTTTAGTAATATGAATTCTGATTAGTACCGGCACAAAATAATTAAGGAAAACATGCTTAATCAAATTAATGGTTACAATATTTTTAGTTTGGAAAATAGTATAACGAGCACACAGAACTCTGTTTTAAGTTGGAAACCAAAGTAACAGAGTGATCAATGTATATAACTGTGGAAGCTGAAGCCACTTTGGCTTTTTTTACTGACAGCAAACAACAAAATGCTTTGTGTGCATTTTTCTATTTCTCACAATAGGATACAACAAGTCCTACTTTATTCTAACGTCTCCAAAACTTTCTCTAAGGTGTGTAAGACATTTCCTATTTCTTCTAACTTTGAGCAAAACAATTTTAAAGAAGGCACTCTTGGTAAGTTCTCAGAATGAGGGACAGGAAGGGAGGTCCTGGTTCTGTAGGCAGTGTTCCCCTGGATGACTATGGACAATGTTTTTGGCCATGAAGAAGAGGAGAGAGAAAATACAGTAGCCAGGACTAGGGTTAAGCAAGTAAGGTATACAGCACAGATGTAGAACTTAAGGGACGCTAAAAAAAAACCCCAAAACAAACAAACAAAAACCTTAGTAATTAAGATGATAGTTGAATGTGATATTTTTAAGAAATCAAAATTAATTCAGAAAACTCCATTATTAGCAAATATCCATTACTTAAGCACTGCATAACTTGCCTTCCTGCTTTGCCCTGATCTTGTGTCTGGCTGGATGAGCTCAAGGAAGCGTAGGTACTTTGAGAAGTCAGTCCTTAGCAAGTTCTGATTTTAAAGTCAAAGGAACCAAAGGAAAGGGAAATGTTGGAGGTGCCTCAAGGATGAATACTCAGTCTCTTTTTGGGAATGAGATTTAAGACACATACAGGGAATTAGCTTTATATAGGCATGGAAATGGCCTATTTGTCATAGTGGGAAAGAAGCAGGGAATTCTGGTGAGAATACAAAGACTTTGTAAGGCCGGAGTCTGGAAAATTAGTAAGTTCCTGCCTAGTAGCTTCTATTTTTTCCATAACATAGGAGACGAGATGTTTTGCTCAGGTTTCTGAACAGAGTGCAGAAGGTTGGACGTAGTTCATCAAAACTCTTTCATATTTCTCTTTCTCCAAATTCCTTAACACCTCTCACAGGGGTATGCATGACCAGCCCTGCATGCCTCTCTTGCCAATTCATTCTTGCAACTAGCCCCCTCACTTCACTCCAGCTACACTCCCTCTTAACTCCCAACATGCTGCTGTCTCTCTCTGGGATGCTTTCTTTCTCTTAATTCCTCTTTTAAAATTCTTTCTGGTCCTCTAAGCCTCAGTTTAAATGATGCTATCCCCAAGTCCTTGCTCTAAAGTCATCCCCATGGTCTATTTTAGTTTGCTTCTTGTCTCTCCGTTGGATTCCATCATATGGCCACTCCTCTCCCTGTATGGCACTATTACAAGGAGGATTTTCCCCAGGCTTGTTCTTTTATATTTGCCTGAGTATCTCTTATGAGGAAGGAAGGAATGTTGTTTTGTGTAAGAAGTGATGTTCCAGGGAATCTCGATGGTTAAAGGTGGGCTGAGGAAAAGATGTAGGCAATTGAGATCACTTATAGAAGAGCTGAGCTAACTATGAAAGAGCTGAAAATCTAGTGCTTTTCATTTTGCAAATAAAGTGATTTTCGTATCAAATTTAAGCAAATAACAAAACTAAGCTTATGTGTTTGGGTGGGAGGGGTGTGTGCCCATGTGCGTATTAGTTATATGTAATTTGTAAAGCTAATCTTATGCAGAAATTATCTACAGGTGCTTTTTTTTCCCCTGGCAAGTTTGTGCCCATGTTGCATAATCTTTTAATGGTAGGACAAAATAAGTGTTATTATAACTCATAAGGTTCAGAGTAAGTAATTAAAATAGGTGCAAGAATACTTTTGCATTTTAATGATATATCTGTCCTTTTAGATATTGTCTGTGGGTGATGAAAGAGTTATTGGAAATATTTCAAAACTTTGCCCTGGATTTGTGAAAGGATTGTTATCAGATGCTGATTCATTTAAAATCCAGTTTCCATATGATCTTGATGTTAAAATCAAAGCACTGATGCTTGGAGCAAGTTTGTTCATTGTGAGTCTATTTTCATTACATTGGCTGAAAATTACATTTTCTTATATTACCGTAACGTTTGTTAATATTTCTTCTCAAATCATTTGAATCAATTGCAAATTGTGCCTCTTTGGTCTAGTCATCAGTCTCCAAATCACACCATAGATTCAGTATTCACACAGCAAAGAAGCAAAAACCAGTGTTCTATAACCACAATAATCAAAGTCCTTTGTATTTATAAAAATTCACACTAAGTTATTGATAATAGGAACAAATTGGTTCATTCAATATGTATTATTATACTTACTTGTATTTCAGACATTTGAAATTTTGCTGGTAAAGTTTTTGTTTTATTTAAAAAGAAATGTATTGTTCATTAGGAAAATATACATATTGTCTTAATCCATCATGATGCTATAACAAAATACTTGAGACTGGGTAACAGTATCAATCTCAAGATATAGAGATCAATGCTAAAATGTTAGAGACTGGCAAAACTATCATCATAATGAGAACTTTATATACACCTCCAAATTGTTACTAGATATGAGACGTAATCTTAGTTATCTACAAGATAAACAAAATTAAAAAACTGATATTATGCACTTATGTAGACCACTTTATCCAATAATTACATAGCACACATTGTTCTCAAACAAACACTGTTTACAAACATTGATTTTATAGAGATCCCAGAATCAAGTCTCAACAAATCTTAGGGGATCAGTATCATCAAGGTCTTGGTTGTCTGAGAAAATGAGACTAATTTAGAACTTACTAACGTTAAATACTTTTAAATGTATATGCAAGAAAAATGTAAATAATTAAAGAATAAAAAGATATAATGGAAAATTAGAGCATCAACATATAATAAATCAGTACATATAAAAATTCTTTGTTCCATCCAGCATTTAAAGAAGGTGCATGACTATGAATACTTATTAAAGAAAGGGGGAAAATTAATGAGCCAATCTCCATTAGTTAAAACTGACAAACCAGTAAAAGAACAGATGAAACCCAAAGGAAGCCTAATGAAGGAGATGTTGAATAATGGAGCAAACAAAGATAAAAGAACAAACAACACTCATACTTCAGTCTCTAAATTGAAAAGGTACCAATCAATAAATGGGCTAAGGAACTGAACAGGAGAAGAAACACAATCAGTCAACAAACATATGAAAAAATGTTCATCATCTCTAGCAATTAGAGAAATGCAAATCAAAACTACTTTAAAATTTCATTTCACTCTCCAGTCAGAATGGCAATTGTCATGAATACAAGCAATAATAAGTGTTGGTGAGGATGTGGGGGAAAAGGCACACTCATACATTGCTGGTGGGACTGCAAATTGGTGCAACCACTCTGGAAAGCAGTATGGAGATTTCTCACAAAACTTGGAACAAAACCACCATTTGACCCAGTGATCCCACTCCTTGGTTTATACCCAAGGACTTAAAATCAGCATACTACAGGGTTGCGGCCACAACATTATTTATAGCAGCTCAGTTCAAAATAGCTAAACTATGGAACCAATCCAGATGCCTTTGAACAAATGAATGGCTGTAGAAACTGTGGTACATATACACAATGGAATATTACTCAGTTTTAAAGAAGAACGAAATTATGGCATTTGCAGGTAAAAGGACAGAACTAGAGAATATCATGCTAAGAGAAATAAGCCAATCCCCCAAAACCAAAGGCCAAAGGTTTTCTCTGAGAAGAGGATGCCTATCCATAGTAGGGGGTGGGGCTAGGGAAGAATGGAGGAACTTTGGTTTGGGCAGAGGGGAATGAGGGAAGGGGAGGGGGTTGTGGGGATGGGAAGGGCGGTGGAATGAGATGGACCTTATTACCCTCTATACATGTATGATTGCACAGCTGGTGTAACTCTGCACCATGCACAGCCAGAGGAGTGAGAAGTTGTGCTCCATTTGCGTACAATGTGTCAAAATGCATTCTACTGTCATGTGTAACTAATTAGAACAAATTTTAAAAACTTTAAAAAATTTAACAGATTTTTCAAATCAGGGAAACCACAAAGTTATACACTGCTAAATTCCACTATCTGTAACTTCCATAACTCAAAACAAATCATAATGTTAAATGTTTAAAGGCAAACAAAGGTATGTATGTACAAACAAAGGTATGTATGTACTACAAATATGAATAAGAAATAATATTCTCATTTTAACAAAAGTACATATAAATGAGAAAAAAACCCATCAGATTCCCAATGGTAACGCACACAGGCTATGGAAAAAATCCACACAACCATCAAAGATGGAATACAAATAACCAATAAATAGAATAAAACTTTTCAAAAACACAAATAGAAAGCAAAAATAAGTAAATAAACAAATGACAGAATGCCCTTTTTCATTGATGACACGGAAATGTTTTTGTTTCTAATGAAGAACTTTCAATGTCAATGAAGGTTGTAGAAACCAGGTGCTCATGAGCTACAGGTACAACTTTTAGGGAATAAATTGCAAAAATGTATCAACATTTCGTATTCATATTCTCTCAGATGCAGACAAATAATTTTGCAAAATCTTTACATTAAGTCACAATATATTATCTATCTAGCAAGCTTCACTCAAATAGCTAAAAGTTAACCCTCCCCCAAATTTAAAAGCATGAGATACCTCTAAATTATCATGCTAAGCAGATGTTAAAACAAACTAACTAACGAAGACACAAAATAAATATTCTCAAAGAATTTTAATGACATGATCCCCTTAGGTTATTTCATGCACTGAAACAATGGGTAGGGACAGCAGGGTTCTCCTATAGTCCCAGCCACTTGGGAGGCAGAGGCAGAAGCATCACAAGTTCAAGGCCAGCCTGGATAACTTGGCAAGATGCTGTCTCAGTATATAAAATTAAATAGGCTGGGATGTAACTCAGGGATATACCACCCCTGGGTCAATCCCCAGTATCAGAAAAAGAGAAAACAGAAAAGCTGAGTAGAATGTCAGCATATTATAATATCTATTATGTGTGTCTAGAAGGAACTTGAACAAAAGTATTAATGATAGATTCTTAGAAGAAAGAGAATATATAACTTTTTCCCTTCTCTTTTCTAATTTTCTACAAATATACATGAATAAAAATGCATATGTGTATATTCATATTTTGGGGATGCAGAAAAATGTGCATGATCTTTATAGTAACTAGAAATAAAATTTTTATATTTCATGTACATGTGTATATATGTCTATATACATATAAAACAAAATAGAACTAGTTACTGTTCTCTAAGGGGCTTTATACTCAAATTTGTTAATTTGGTGTTTTTAAGGGCAGCCAATAATTCTTATATTCATTTGTAGAATGTGGTACCTCAAAGGTGTGATCCTGAAAATTCTGTTGCATAATATATTTTATAATCATGGTATTATAACACAAGACCTAAAAAACATTCTCAGATCTAGCACCTCTAGCTCTTTCTACTATTAAGCCAAACTAATTGCATTTATTTTTCATGTTTATTCTAGGATTACATGTATTTTGAACTCTGTCCCTAAGCGTCATCCTGAAAGACTATGGCAGAGATTACTATCATTAAGTTTTGCCAGCCAGCCCTCAGCAAAATTAAACAACTTGCCCTTAAAATATCTAAATAAAATTTATTCTGCAAAAACTATTTGTATACTTTTTTACCTATATTAAACCATAATAAACTTTAGTAAGTTAAAATAATTATTGTATTTAGCTCAGGACTCTGATGGTGGACAAATACAAATTCTCCTGGCCAGAACCTGCTCCCTCACGTGCATACAGTCAATTAACAGATTGCCCAGGGACTGACTCATCCCAGAAGACTTCATTTGCCTATCTGGATGATAGCTGGAGCAACAGGGACAATGGAAACATATCTTTGATCATCTGGGAGACCAGCCAAAGCTTTTACACAGGAGGACTGTTACTAAGGAAGCCAGGAAGCAAGTTCAAATGTGCAAACTCATGTAAAGCCAAAACAAGTCCTTTAGCTTAGCTTAGAGTCAAGATGTAGACAAAGGGACTCAAAGGGGTTATTGCAAAATATTGTGCCCTTTCTCACACCAATCTATCACCATCTACCTGTGATCACAATTACTTAATTCTCCCCATATGCAAAATAGCCTCAGTCCTCTTAGGAGATTCCCAAAAGTTTATTTCAATTACAGCATCCAGCACAGGATCAGTATCATGTAATCAGCATTTTTGTGAATGCCAATGAGGATATAAGATAAGGTTCATACATGACTTAAGAGACCCACTCAACATTCAATAGTGAGCCAAAGTCAAAGTAACCACAACCAAAAAATGGAATCCATACAGCAATCACTGGTCCATAGAACACTAGAATTAAGATGGGTACAAGCTTCCAGTTCTCCTTTCCCTAGGAATAGAGAAACCCTGCTCCCCGGAAGGGGACATCTAGTCTATTGTCTGTTTTGCCCTCTGTGATTTTGGTTGTGCCTTTTGTGATATTCTTTTCTCATGTTTTGGGTAGATTTTGCAGCCTTCTGTCTGTCTATTAAAAATTGGAAACCTAGGTTTCTTTTCATTTTGAACTGTATCAAGTCTTTTTTAGTCTATGCTTGCACAACTCTCTTAAAAACTAAAACTGTCTGGGGTTTTTATATATAAGGTTTGGTCAACTCCAATGAATGGAAAAGTCACATCTGCCAATTCATCTTTTTTTTTTTCTTACAAGACAGTTGCCTCCCTCTGGACTTACTCTGGACAGGCTTTTTCATATGACAGGTGGGCCAAAAGCAGCAAAAGAATATTCCTTTACGCACAAGCACTTAAAAGAGACCCTGCTTCTTGATGGAAGGAACGGTCAAATACTGTGGACACTTCTTCACAATCTAGCATAGGATTTAACTGGTGATTTTTCATTATTTATATTACCTATGAAATAACATTTAAAATATGATCCTATTCAATTATATCTTATCATTTAACTAATATAAATATTTAAGATGATTCTTAGATATGGTTACTCTTAATGTGATTGTATCCAATAAACTGGTAATCCTACATCAGGACCACACAGACATCAACCTAAGGGAAGCAAGAGAGATAAGGACTTTGTGAAATAAAATGCATGACACCTGAATATTTCCAGATAAAGGAGAATACTTGCTTCTTATTAAAAAAAAAAAAGTCAGAATATAGCAGTGCTTGTCATCCAAGAAGTACCATCTCATTCCTGAGTAATTCTCCCGGTGGTAGCAATTTCAGTCTGCAGAATAAGACAATGGATTTTTTTGTTTGCAAAAACTCAAAAGGCAATGGCCTAGAGATCATTCTAGAAATACATGGAATCAAAGATTTGAAGGTATCAGTACAGACCACCCAAAGCAAGAGGGGCTCTACAAGGCACATGTAGCCAGGTACAGAGATCTCTCCTTCCTCCCTCTTCCTACATCCAGAGGTAAATGAGCCCACAAGTATGGCTGAGGATGTTGTTTGCTGCCTTCTGTGCCTGGGACATCCACATACAGAACCCTGTGTTTGGTTTGGACAGGAACAAGTGGAAGCTTCTGTCTTCCAGAAAACTATAGGACTCTTGACTATGGACTTTACCCCCAGTTCCTATATGCCATCATTTTGGTTGTTGCTATTTCATGCCTAAGCTTCTGAAATTTGCTTAACTTTCTCCTCTTCATCGCCTCCTGTTCACCACCAGTCCTCTTGCATTTTTACCATTTCCTTCTTTTCACCAAGAGATCCTTTTAACGTTTACCTCACCTGACTTTCCTACAGCATTTGGCATTGTTGACAACTTCTTCCTGAGCTCTGTCATTGATGCTGTGGTCAGGACCTGAAATCCCAAGGCCTATGTGTTAGTAACTTGTTCTCCAGGGTCGTGCAATTGGGAAATGGTGGGAACTGCAAGAGGCGGAGCCTGGTGGGAGGCCTTCAGGTCACGGAGAGCATCCCTTGAAAGAGATAGCAGAACTCCATCCCCCTCCTTTCTCACCTTTGCTCCTGGGCCATGAGGTGAAGGATTTTTTGCTCTGCTACATATTCCCATCATGATGTACTTCCTTTCCAGAGGCCCAAAGCCATGGGGTCAATTTGTCATGGACTGAAACCACCAAAACTGTGAAGCCAAATAAACCTTTTTTATTTGTAAGTTGATTTATCTTAGGTATTTATTACAGTCTTGGAAAGATCAACTAACATGTTTACATACAAGCCATTCTCTGGAATTTATTTCCCATTTTTTTGTCACTCATTTAAAGCTCATCTTGTGCCCATCACTTAAATGTAGACATTCCTCAAATTTGCCTTTTAGTCTCTCATCTAGACTATCTACCTTGTTATATAGCAGGAAAATTGGGGGTCACGTGAACTTTTAGAAAAATAACTTTTATTTATTTAAGTACAGCATGTGAATTTTCTATAATGCTAAACACTACTAAAAGACCCTTACCAAATCAATAACCTCTGGCTACTACCCTCTACCTCTTTTCTACAAAAATAAACAAAAGCATTGCTGGGATTTCTGTTTGGAGTTCTAATGTATGTATCACTACATTAATTTTTGCACATTGGTTTGCATATTGTGACAATGCTAAATTCACTTATTAATACTTGCAATTTCTTTGCAAGTTCTTTGGAATTTTTTTAAATATCATTGTCATTTACAAGCAAAATAATTGCACTCTATATACTTTCCAAGCTTTGTAGATTTTCTTTAAAAAAAATTATATTTGGGCAGGACCTCCAGTATAATGATGAATGAAAGTATTGTCATAGGTATCTTTGCTTTGCTCCACACTTAAGAAACATTTTGACAATTCACCTGTATTTATTATGTTACCACTAGGTTTTTGGTAGACACTCTTAATCAAATTGAGAAAATTTAATTATATTCTAAAATCCCTGAGATTTTTACCAAATTAAATTTAATTAAATGATAATTTAAATAAAAATTAAATTTAATTAAATGTATAAAATGATTTTTATACATCTACTGAAAGGCTATAAGTTCTCTCTGTTTATTCTGATAATCAAGTAAACAAGATTTATTGGTTTTGGATTGCTTAACTGTGGAATTTTAAAATATCATTTATATTTCTATATCCCACTTGTTCATAACATTTTGTTTGTTTTTAATGACTCATAACATAGCATTTATGTTCATTTTGTTCTATAATTCTATTTTAATTCTTCATTGACTTCTAGAATCAGGATTACTCTGACCCAATGGTAATGTATACTGGGATATGTTTAATTACTGACTAATAAAAAGAGTAATAAAAAGCCTTGGTCTAACATGGTTGGCAATTACCTTGATATACACATCACCATGACTGAGTTCAGCCCACCAGTGGATTGAGGTGTTCCCATCTCAATCTGTGAACCTGGCTCTGGCACACCCCTGTTCTGACCTAAAAAAACAAGTAGGGAATTATTCTTTTGTGCTTCTTACTGTGAAAAAAAGGTGTAATATTAGTATTATTACTTACTCTTTAAATTTGTTATATTCACAGAAGTTTAATTAATGAGTTTTAACTTTAGTCTGATCAGTCTTAAAATTACATATAGTTAATTGTAAATATATATGGTTACATGAGTAATAAAATACACTATATCTTTATAATTATATCATAATTATGTAATTATACTATATAATTATATACTATAATAATTACACATATATTTTTGTATAAATGTATCATCTATTATATTATTTTCATATTATATATACATAATTTCTTGATATGGAAAATTATTCCTCTTTTATAGAGAGGATGGCCTCAATCACAGTGTCTTTCAAGAGACACTATTATTTAATATGTAAGTGCCATATTCCAGGAAAAATAAACTTAAATGAAGAAAAGGGAAAGAAAATGCCATCCAGGATCCTACTGCCTCACACATTTGAGTTGGCTAATTATCAGTGGTTATTATCAAAGGCTGTTAAAAAGCCTATAAAAGAAAGATTTATGCTGATAGTAGTTCACTTTATCTTGTGCTAGGATCTTAATTTAATAAGTCAGGGGACTAGAATGTAGCTCACTGGCCTAGCATACACAAGACCTACGGTTTGATCCACAGTACCACAAAAGAGAAAAAGAGAGGCCTGCTTCCTCTTTAGCTCAAACATTAACTAAATCACAATGGGAAAATAAAGCTCAGAGGCAGAAACTAACGAGAAACATTGCTTCACGGTAATGAAGCACTGATGTATCTGTTTTGGGGGCTTCATTAAGTTTTAGTTTGGGAAGGTTTTTATGTAACTTACCTGAAGAACTTGTAATTGTGGTTGAAATTTATAGTTGCCAAAGTCACTCAACAAAGGGGAAACTTCGACGTTTTACTTCATGTCTTTTCAATAAATGTTCCATTCAAATTTTAGGTGTCAAAGAAATAAAAGACAGTGGAGGCTGCATTTGAATACTTCAGGAGCCTCCTGGGGAGGAGGAACACAATTAAACCAACAGCAGCTCTCACAGGGACAAGGACTGTTGAAGACATTTCTAGCCAGCTAAAGAGGCCCCAGTGGGTGTCTTTTTAGAGAACTCCCCAAAGCAGCCTCGTGGGTGGAAAGTACCTCAGCACCAAGTGAACACATGAAGTACCAGTCCTCCCAGGAAAGAGAAATTGAAGGCTGAGAGGGGAAGGTGTTTTACCAAAAATGAAAATAAATGGATCAGTCCCAAGACTGTGTGGGAACAACCTTGAGGACAGGTTGTATCACCTTCATTACATACATAAAGGTTGTTGAAAGGGGGGTTGAAGTACTTTCCAGAAGCAGCAGAGGTTGCATACCTTTCTGGGATCAGTGCAAACTAAAAATGCAGTACTCCTGTTCAAATTTTATTAAAACCTCAGAATGGCAACAGCAGCACACTAATCCAAGCCCCAGGCCCTTATGACTAACCAGCTTGCAAGCCCATGAAGTCAATCCTGGCCAGAGGGCAGGATCAGGTTTTGACTTAAGGAAATTTGGTGATATCCCAAAGTCACAGTACTGTTATGGAGTGGAGAAATGGGGAGTTCAAACCAAGATGGTCTGAGTTCTAAGTCCATGCTCTTACTTTCACTACTACTGAAACTTCCATGCTGGCTCAAGAGCACTTTCCCCCAGCTGCCCACCCATAGGGACCCCTGGGCCACACACATCAGCCTTGATGAAGAGGACAAGAAGAATCTCCTTATCAGTGGTCAAGTTGTGGTATAGTCCCAAGATGCCAGTATTAACAGGAAGAGAGCCCCAAATTCAGACCTGTTTTGCCAAACAGTTAGCCAACTATGAACATAAGGGAAAAGTTCTTTTTTTTTTTTAATTTTTTATTGTTGGTTGTTCAAAACATTACAAATTTCTTGACATATCATATTCCACATTTTGATTCAAGTGGGTTATGAACTCCCACCTTCCCCCCATACACAGATTGCAGAATCACATCAGTTACACATCCATTGATTTACATATTGCCATACTAGTGTCTGTTGTGCTCCGCTGCCTTTCCCATCCTCCACCCTCCCCCCTCCCCACCTCTCCCCTCCCCTCCCCTCCTCTCTCTCTACCCCCTCCACTGTATAACCCTGAGGGTCTCCTTCCATTACCATGCAATTTCCCTTCTCTCTCCCTTTCCCTCCCACCTCTCATCCCTGTTAAATGTTAATCTTCTTCTCCTGCTCTTCGTCCCTACTCTGATCTTAGTTACTCTCCTTATATCAAAGAAGACATTTGGCATTTGTTTTTTAGGGATTGGCTAGCTTCACTTAGCATAATCTGCTCTAATGCCATCCATTTCCCTGCAAATTCTATGATTTTGTCATTTTTTTAATGCAGAGTAATACTCCATTGTGTATAAATGCCACATTTTTTTTTTATCCATTCGTCTATTGAAGGGCATCTAGGTTGGTTCCACAGTCTTGCTATTGTGAATTGTGCTGCTATGAACATTGATGTAGCAGTGTCCCTGTAGCATGCTCTTTTTAGGTCTTTAGGGAATAGACCAAGAAGGGGAATAGCTGGGTCAAATGGTGGCTCCATTCCCAGCTTTCCAAGAAATCTCCATACTGCTTTCCAAATTGGCTGCACCAATCTGCAGTCCCACCAGCAATGTACAAGTGTACCCTTTTCCCCACATCCTCGCCAGCACTTGTTGTTGTTTGACTTCATAATGGCTGCCAATCTTACTGGAGTGAGATGGTATCTTAGGGTGGTTTTGATTTGCATTTCTCTGACAGCTAGAGATGGTGAGCATTTTTTCATGTACTTGTTGATTGACTGTATGTCCTCCTCTGAGAAGTGTCTGTTCAGGTCCTTGGCCCATTTGTTGATTGGGTTGTTTGTTCTCTTATTGTCTAATTTTTTGAGCTCTTTGTATACTCTGGATATTAGGGCTCTATCTGAAGTGTGAGGAGTAAAGATTTGTTCCCAGGGTGTAGGCTCCCTATTTACCTCTCTTATTGTTTCTTTTGCTGAGAAAAAACTTTTTAGTTTGAGTAAGTCCCATTTGTTGATTCTAGTTATTAACTTTTGTGCTATGGGTGTCCTATTGAGGAATTTGGAGCCCGACCCGACCGAATGTAGATCGTAGCCAACTTTTTCTTCTATCAGACGGCGTGTCTCTGATTTGATATCAAGCTCCTTGATCCATTTTGAATTAACTTTTGTGCATGGCGAGAGAAAGGGATTCAGTTTCATTTTGTTGCATATGGATTTCCAGTTTTCCCAGCACCATTTGTTGAAGATGCTATCCTTCCTCCATTGCATGCTTTTAGCCCCTTTATCAAATATAAGATAGTTGTAGTTTTGTGGATTGGTTTCTGTGTCCTCTATTCTGTACCATTGGTCCACCCG